CTTACCCTAAGGGGAGTTAAAAAAATGTAGTAAAAGAAATAGAATTAAATAAGAGAACAAATAATAATTATAAATAACTTGCAGAATTATGTTCTGGATCATAGATCACTCAGCAATTTTCTCTTCAGTTTTTCGACTGACTGGGATTGACATATGTATCCAATTTGTCTCGAACAATCAACCTTCTGCTTTTAATGACCTCTATTGGGAATTTTTAGGTCCTCGTGAATTATATATAAACCCATCAAGTGCTGCATATCATTCTCAGTATATTGTTTTGGGCTTTCTGAATTATACAAATATATTATATACCATGTGTCGATATTGGAATTATCATCGAGAAGCTTATTTTGTAATCAAAGTTTGGATGATCTTCCTATGAGCCAGTTCAGGTACTTCAATTTTAAATCTATTTATTCCTTTTTCATTATTACGTACATTTTCCAATTTAGTTTACTATCTACATGCATTATTAGATTTTTTTATCAGGCCTTGTGTGGCTTCTTAATGAAACGATAAGATGTTGGGATTTGGTAACATCTGGTTCGATGTTCCATTTTTTAGCTATAATTCTGTTTCTCTTAATGAGCAAAAGATGCTCAAGATTTATTTATTTATTACCCTTTTTTATTTATTATGCCCTTCTTGCAGACTTTTTTGACAGCACGTGAGGCTCCAAATAAAAACCTCGATATGCAATTTGAAGAAATGTTCCCATGACAATCTTACTAATGTTGAAATGCAGTTAAAATGGAGATTTTATTTTATTTTAGTTTGATTTTTAGACCATTCACACTTTTATACATTTATATTTTCTAGCAATTTAAAATATCTTCTGACAAAATACTATATTTTCTGACACTTTTGAACAGTTTCTATGTTTTGTTAACATTTTCTGACTATTTTTAAACATTTTCAGATTTAAAGCATGTTCTGATGATTTACAATATTTTTTGATAATTTTTTTTAAACAATTTCTATGTTTTTTTTTCAAAACAATGACTATTTATTTTGAATTTGAAACTATTTGACTATTTATTGTTAATTTGAAACTATTTGACTATTTATTTTAAATTTGAAACTATTTGACTATTTATTTTAAATTTGAATCTATTTGACTATTTATATTAAATTTGAAACTATCAGACTATTTATTTTAAATTTGAAACTATTTGACTATTTATTTTAAATTTGAAGCTATTTGACTATTTATTTTAAATTTGAAACTATTTGACTATTTATTTTAAACTTGAAACTATTTGACTATTTATTTTAAATTTGAAACTATTCGACTATTTATTTTAAATTTGAAACTATTTGACTATTTATTTTAATTTTGAAACTATTTGACTATTTATTTTAAATTTGAAACTATTTGACTATTTATTTTAAATTTGAAACTATTTGACTATTTATTTTAAATTTGAAACTATTTGACTATTTATTTTAAATTTGAAACTATTTGACTATTTATTTTAAATTTGAAATTGTTTGACTATTTATTTTAAATTTGAAACTATTTGATTATTTATTTTAAATTTGAAACTATTTGACTATTTATTTCAAATTTGAAACTATTTGACTATTTATTTTAAATTTAAAACTATTTGACTATTTATTTTAAATTTGAAACTATTTGACTATTTATTTTAAATTTGAAACTATTTGACTATTTATTTTGAATTTGAAACTATTTGACTATTTATTTTAAATTTGAAACTATTTGACTATTTATTTTAAATTTGAAACTATTTGACTATTTATTTTAAGTTTGAAACTATTTGACTATTTATTTTAAATTTGAAACTATTTGACTATTTATTTTAAATTTGAAACTATTTGACTATTTATTTTAAAGTTGAAACTATTTGACTATTTATTTTAAATTTGAAATTATTTGACTATTTATTTTAAATTTGAAACTATTTGATTATTTATTTTAAATTTGAATCTATTTGACTATTTATTTTAAATTTGAAACTATTTGACTATTTATTTTAAATTTGAAACTATTTGACTATTTATTTTAAATTTGAAACTATTTGACTATTTATTTTAAATTTGAAACTATTTGACTATTTATTTTAATTTGAAACTATTTGACTATTTATTTTAAATTTGAATCTATTTGACTATTTATTTTAAATTTGAAACTATTTGACTATTTATTTTAATTTTGAAACTATTTGACTATTTATTTTAAATTTGAAATTGTTTGACTATTTATTTTAAATTTGGAACTATTTGACTATTTATTTTAAATTTGAAACTATTTGACTATTTATTTTAAATTTGAAACTATTTGACTATTTATTTTAAATTTGAAACTATTTGACTATTTATTTTAAATTTGAAACTATTTGACTATTTATTTTGAATTTGAAACTATTTGACTATTTATTTTAAATTTGAAACTATTTGACTATTTATTTTAAATTTGAAACTATTTGACTATTTATTTTAAATTTGAAACTATTTGACTATTTATTTTAAATTTGAAATTGTTTGACTATTTATTAACTTCCTGTAGGGTAAGTTATTGTAATGGGCCGAAAATCGGAATTGAAAATTTTTACATTTCTCGACGTTTTGAAGGTTTCTGAACGTTTTGGCATACCTCAGAAAAAATGGATGTGTGTGTGTGTATGTGTGTGTGTGTGTGTGTATGTATGTATGGATACAAATTTCCAGTCACGTTTCAGGGCGCACGGATCAACCGATTTGAATGGTTCAAAAAACATTCGATTCCTATTGATAGGGAAAAGAGCTGATTAGTTTTTGGCAAAGGCAGGTCCAGCCGTTTCGGAGATACGGAGCAAAGAGTGCAGAAAATAGAAATCGAATTTTTGAGAGAACGGAGTATCCGATTTGAATGATCTAAAAAACATTCAATTAGTAATGATTGGGAGAAGTGTTTATTAGTTTTTGGCAAAGGCAGGCCCAGCCATTTTGAAGATACGGAGCTAAATATGTAAAAAATGGCAGTTTTTGAGAGAACTAAGCATCCGATTTAAATGATTCAAAGAACTTTCTGCTTGTCTTAACAAAATAATTGATTTTGGAAAAAAAAATTTTGTTCAATTTTTTTTTTTTTTTTTTTTAGTTTTTTGTATATCGAAAACATTTCAGATTTTATTTTTAATTCTGACTATAGTTCTAATATACTTTACAAATAATTTCAACTCTACAATTCAGTTTATATAATTCTTATAAATATTATACAATGTTACAATATTTATAATAATCTATTTGAAAACATTCAGTATTCCTCGAACATTTTGTTACGGTACGGGAAGTTCCAGCAATTTGCCTTAAGGCACAATGCCATAATTGCCTCAAGACAGAATTCCAATTCCAAATTCCAGCTAGTTTTAAATTTGAAACTATTTGACTATTTATTTTAAATTTGAAACTATTTGACTATTTATTTTAAATTTGAAACTATTTGACTATTTATTTTAAATTTGAAACTATTTGACTATTTTATTTAAACGATTTTTATTTTATTTAAACAATTTTTATTTTATTTACTTGCACACTCTGCAGTAGCACATCTTCGCATATATCTATGGTTCATGTCGGAAAAAGCCGCCAAAAAATTCATTCTCTCTTTTGGGACTTGCCGGGCGAGAACATTACATCATTACATCGGAGATTGGAATTGAAATCATTCCTCGTGTCTTCATGTTTCAAGCGAGAATATTTTCCAAGTTATATTACTATAAAATCAGCGTTCAATAAAAAATGCCATTGCTTTATGCTTACGCTATCTTATTTTTAGATCAGGAGAATTGACAAAGGGGTCCGTGGAGACTCCATTTGAATACAATCACTACATATTTAAGAATTTTAAAGCAAAGATATTATGTAATCAAAATGCTTTTTATAGTTTAACCAACCATGTGCTTGATTTTTTTGGGTAATGTTACACAACTCGATCCATCACTCATCTTGTGCCCTAGCTGTATCTTGTCCGATAATTTTAAATATAATATGAAACTATTAAGTCGACTTAGCTGACATTTAGAATCCTAGACGACTTTGTGAAACATAATTTAGTGTTTTTTGAAATTTAATTTTCAACTAACCATGTGCTCGATTTATGTCAAGTAATGTTACTCAAGTCAATCCATCTGATTGATTTCAAATATCATATGAAACTATTTAGTTGACTAAGCTAAGCTTTACAATTTGAAATCTGGAAGACTTTATGAAACATAATTTAGAAAGTGAGCATTTTGTAAAGTTGTCACTTTTTATTAGACTTGGTTGTTTTATCATTACTCTCAAATAGTTTAGTTATCATTGAACAGTACAATTTGTATAAAATTTTATCAGAAGTTTTAATGTTTCACGGCTTAGGTTGTACCTGTGTAAGATTTCTCACTCGTGCTTATTTCATACGAAGCATTTTGATTTTTTTTATTAAGTATAAAGAAATAATGATTGATACAATTGTCATTTGATAATTTTGTATGTGCATTAATTTTTTGGGATGATTTTATTTAAAACTGATAATGAATTCTATTTATCTTTATCTTTATCGTAGTAGGTATAGATGGTAAGACTTATTGAACAACAAGCCTTAAAATTTATTGGATTATTATTTATTCGAGATAGAGGTTTTTTTTAGATTATTATTAGCCACGCTTACATGGAGCATTTAGCCATCCACAACATTCCATTTTTTTATTCTAATTATTTTTTAAATTTTAATTTCTTATTGAAAGACAATTATTTTTATTCTTCAATATTAAGGAATAAATTTTATTTCATTATGCTATTTCACTTTGATAAATCAGAAAAACCTTATATGTAGAAAGGTGGAGTCTGTTAATCATACAGTCTGTTTTAAAGTTTTAAATTTTATCATGGAAGATTGTATCCGAAGTACAAAAATATTACTATTTCTTATATTGAGCATCGGCATCATTTTAATAATGCATTTATAATGATGTTCATTCCAATTTAATACTTATTTCTATATTTTACAGGTTCAGACCAATGTTTTTATTCGTATTGGAAAGCAAAATGAAGCTGCTTTGGAAATAATTTTGCAATTGAAATCAGTCGGAGCCCCTGACAAATCTAGTGTTCATTGGTTGAAGTTAATAATCTGAGGAAACTCATTCATTAACACAATAACTAGGTTTGAGTGTCATATTGCTTTAAGGTATGTTGATTAGATTTGCATAACAATCGGCCTAGTTGTTTGGGTTATTTTTTTGTCTGCTTTCAGACAGTTTACAATGTTTTTATATTTCTACAAATGCTTTCATCTGACATCATCACTGTCATTTTAAGACTGTAAAAGTGATTTTGATTGGTGGCCATCAAATGAAAAAGCGACATGTCTCATTAAATATCGAGCATTTAGTAAATATTCCAAAGATGTCTGAAGCATTCTGAGGCTGTCTGAAAAATATACTGAAGATTCTTAAAAGTAAGTTAAAATACCAATAAGTTTTATTGATTGAATTTTGTTAATAAGTACATTTATCATCGATTTGCAATTACATTGATGTCCTTTTAACACTCAGCAGATTTGAATTTGCCATCGACGTCATCGCACTTTGGATGAATGCGGCGCTTTAAATATTTTACTTGATTTATATAAAAAATTAAGAAACTCTAGATAATCAAAGAAAATGTTAAAAAAAATTAATCATTGAATTAAATATCAAATTTTAATAAGACTTTGCATTTCATGATTCGAATGACTGCTTGCATGGTAGCTTTCGTATGGATTAATATATTACAGTGCATGCGTAGTTCTAGTTTTAATAACACTAACAAATACTAACAAAATAACCATCTATTCTATTTTTAATCAATAATCATGTAATCATTTGAATCATTTAAAATAATGCAATGTGTAATTATCATTCATTACACTTTATATCACTGCTTTCAATTCATAAATTCGTTTTCTGTACATCCAAGTGCAAATTGTAAACCGTTGTGACATTATTACATTTTATTTCTGAGTATTCGGACTAAGTCACATCAACACATAATGTACAAATTGAAGAAAACTGTAGGAAGTGGATTTATCAAGTAATGCATGAAAACTAGGTATATATTTGATTTATTTTAGCAATTAATGATACATCATCAATTATGTATTCATCCATGTAACATAACTAATGTTTTTTTTTTCAGATCCTTCTAATTCAACTGTCACTAATCTGAAGAAGTTCCACACTGATAACCTTCTCTAAAAGATGTATTCTAACCTTGTTTTTTTTTTATTGCAGGTTCAATTCTCCACTAATGAACCAACTGCTATCATCAACCCAACAGACTTTATCGACTCTAGTCAATCAAACAGTAAGCTCATATCAAGTATCTATCAGGCTGTATGTATCCTTTCTCAAACATTTTAAAAGATGTATTCTAACCTTTTGTTTTTTTTATTGCAGGTACAATTCTCCACTACTGAATCAACTGCCACCATCGACTCAACCGACTTTATCAACTCTAGTCAATCCAACAGTAAATTAATATCTTAACTTGTCTTTGGTCTTAACTTGTCTTGTTTTGGTCTTAACTTGTTGCCCTGGTCTTGATCTTGTACTAGAGTATTTTGTACTAGAGTATATACATTCATTTATTTAAATATTTAGTCAAAACTTCAAAAAACTTTTTGCACAAAAAATCACCTTTCTATACTATTTTTATCTAATTTTTATCTAATTTTCATCTTATTTTTATAAATTTTTTCCTCCCCAGGTATACAGATTTGGCCTGGCTAGAAGAAAACGTTTGAGGGCAGGATTATTTCAAATGCATGTCCTCGATTTCTGCAAATCCTTTAAGTACTGATGCAACCTGGAAATACGTCCAGGACAATTGGCAAAAAATGATCGACAGGTTCGGATTGGGGGAAAGAAATTTGGGCAGACTTATTCTATCTGTTACCGACAGATTTACTACTGAGGATAGGCTGAAAGAAGTAAAGAGACGATATGAAAGATGATACAAAATTATCATTTATTCAAAATTTTTATATCGGAGTGTATAAAAGTATGACCTAGGAAATGTTGTAAATTTTATCTAGTTTCACCCTGTGTAATTGAAAACGGGTGGTTTTATATGAAGTATTTGAGTTATTTGACAAAAACCAAAAAAATGTCCCGAATTAAAATTTAATTTTTCAGATGAATGACTTCTTTGCCAAATTTCCGGAGGCCGGAGTAGGAGCTGCTGCTCGGAAACAAGCCCTGGAAACTGTTTCCAATAATATAAAATGGTTAAAAGTTAACAAAGACAGTATTGCAAAATGGTTGAACGAGAGGAAATGATTTAAGAAAAAATATATATAAGTGCTCTTTAGTGTTGAAAGTCGAACGCAATCCCAGACAGCACAAGACATGCCAGGGAATGTCCCTCTTGTCTTCACAATCTCCTAATATCGCGATATCCTATGAATATCCTATGAATATGCCAGGGGACGTCTCAAAACCAAAGGACTCGAGTAGGTATAACGCACGGTTCAGGAACATGTCGGTCTCATACGCGCACGGCTTGAGACCTCTAAACGTATATGTTTGTCCCTTTCTCTTTCGTCGCGTCGGCTGTATGCTGTAGGCATGGAGCGTCCTTTAAGGTTTAAGCGTTATCAATAGACGCTATATGTCGAATTATCATAGTTTTTGAGTAATTGAGCAATAATAGTGAAAATTTTGTTTGTTTTATATAATTATATGAGCGTGTGTTATAAATAATTAATATTATCTATCAAAATACTCTAAAATTGAGTAATATTAGTGGAAATTTCATGTGTTCTATATAATTATATGTGCGTGTGTGTTATAAATATTGCAGCAACATATTGAAAGGGGGGCAGATATAAACGATGGTAATTAAAGCTTTCTGTGTACTGTTATTTGAAATACTATGTTACTAGTACAAATAGAATTTTTAATTTAATGCTGACATTTCTACCCAGCTTATCCAGCAACCATGCCTAATTTTATATCAAATGCTGTGTTTGATAGAGAATTAACAAAGAAGAAATGCTCTCCACTATGTTTGTTGGAGGAGCTTCAACTTATGGAGGCTATTTTTCTGAGCAAAGATATCAAAATACAATTGGTAATCATAAGTTTATATAGATTTATTTTTATTTGTTAACTTTATCATATACTAAACAAACTTTCTCTTTAGATTCTGTATTTAGCCATCAGAGTCCAGCTATGAAAATCCATTTTTGATGATGGTTTGGACAAAGAGTTTTGCTAGGGACGAGGAAAGGGCAAAAATAAATTTTGGGATCTAGTGCCTTGCGATGTCATCACAGGTAATTTATATATCTTATACTTATGATGTGTTGTAAATTATGAATAAACTAATATATAATTAATTCCAGGAATTGCTTTGAAAAATTTGCCGCATGAGACATAGTTTTCTGTTTCAGAGGCTGCAAAAAGCTGGCTGCGACGAGCCATAAATATTATGCAAGGCATTTTTGTGAGATGTGTACTATATGTCTTTTGTATCTACTATTTTGTTTTTTGTATATATTGTATCAATATGTACAAATAAAAATATGTAGTTGTATCAATATTAGTGCAAAATTTGTGCTTTGTACACATTTTTAGATGTAAAAAAACAAGTTTAATATTCACTCGTAATGACATCAAATTTTGTCGATATATTTGAAATTAGAGATTATTTTATAAATCTCTGTCTATTTTGATTGATGTATCACTCTTAAAAAACTTACTCATATATATATATATATATATATATATATATATATATATATATATATACATATATATGCATTTATTCATTTGTTTTCTATTTCAGGAGAGAAAATCAACCATAAACTGGGATTGAATGCCGAATTAATTATATTTTTAATATTGTAAAATAAGTTATTTTGAATTAAAGTTGTATATATTAGATTTTGTTATAAAATTATCTCAGGATTTTGTTATTTTGTAATAAAAGTTTACTTTGTGAAATTGAGTTCTTTTATTTTATTTTTAATCCAAATTTATTTTTCATCTAAAAAGTAAAAAACAATTCCATAATTAAATCCTATTCATGTCCGGTTTATGTCCGGAATATCCCGCGCGGGATATCCTACAGAACGTCCCGTAGGTGCGACATATTAACATGTTTCGGATATAGTCAGGATAAGCAGGATATCCGTAAGGATATAGCAGGAACAATGAATGTCCGCGCGTGGATATCCTGTGGACATTTTCCAGGATGTCTTGTGTTGTCTGGGATTGTAAAACTAAACAGAAAGTTTTTTTTTTTTATTAAATAAATAAAGTATGTGCATATTTTTGTTATTAATTTAATTTCAAGGTATTCGTTTAATTAAATTAAATATGCGTTTAATTTTTGTATTTTGTATAAATAAAAATTGATATATTTTGTATATCTTTTATATATTATATGGTTCAATTTAACACTGATTTGATTTTAAATAAGAGCAAAGTATTAATTAAATGAATATATAAACAAGATTTAAAACAAAAAACAAGTCAAAATAGAAAATATTTTTCAGTCAAGACAGGTTTTATAGCTGCTCGAAGACTGAAATTATATCGTCAACAAAAAAGTAAAAAAAAATACCATCAGCCAATGAATGTATGTTAATTTTAATTACATGAAGTTCTTCAAACAGAATTATTACATGATGAGTGAAGTTGCAAAAACAATATTTGGCGTTGTTTAACATAATAATTATCTGCATTTTTATAGATAATAAAAAATATTGAAGCAGTACACCTTTATTCTATCATGCCTAAGATATATCCTTTTCAGAATTATATCTCAGATATTTTTGGTAGTTTAGATGAAGTCTACATGTTTTTCGATCATGCTAAGTATTACAAAGCTGCATAATGAAGAATAAATTGATATTCAGATTTATTAATCTAAACAAGAGTTGAAGCACAAGAATAGTTTGTGTAGGTTTGTATCATTTCTATACATATTTACTTTATAATGGACATCTATGCTATAAATAAACTATTTATTTGTTACAAGTTTACTGTGTGAATTTATTAATCAGCAATTACTTCATTTCTTTAATGAAGGTTCATTTTTAAATGCTAATTACAATGACAAACCGACAATGTCATATCCGAAGTATGACTTTAATTACATTATTGTTTGTAAATATTATACATATTTTTAATGCTATTATAAATATATAATTTATCATTATCATATAAATGTGTATAATGGTTGACACTAATAAATGTGTGCATCACGAGTGTTACCATATTACTGATGAACGTTATTCAAAATTGTTAAATGATGTATTTATTTTTACTTGAATGCCATCTCATACAACAACAAAAAAGTTTTACTTCAATACTTATTATATTTGCAATGCGTTACAAATGTGAAATAAAGTTATAACAATTTGCATATATCATTTAGTCAAAATTCAAATTTGAAATTGGCGCCCTTTGTAGCGCTACTGTTCACCGATCGAAAACTCTGAAGTTGCACAAAATGGCGACCTGTCAGCACTTATTGAAGGCGCCTTAGTTCTTCATGGGATTCTAGTGAAAACAAATGGCAAAAAAAAGAAGTGAGTGCTATATAAATAATGTAGTTAGTTGTGCAAGAAATATTTTGTGATGCAAGAAAAATGGAGCACCCTTAGAAGTCACGAGCAACGGATCGGATAGTAATTGAAAGGTATGGTAATAGACATTTAGTATATAGACATTTGATAGTTTTGTTAAGAACGAGTTTTATGGGTTTGTGCTGATTCTTGCTTGTGATTTAGTAGTCAGTTTTGATGCATCGAATTCCAATACAGATTTTTTTATACTTAAAAGTTATATATACACTTATAGGTAATATTTTTACAACATAACCTGTAAGTTACAAGCAAAGATGTTGAAAATCGAAATAAAACTAGTGGGGCGCACGGCATCGTTCCTTAAGGCAACTTGCTGGAACTTCCCGTACCAAAAATTATTTTTAAAAACATTAACATTTTTGACACGCACACATACATCCATTTTTTGTAATGTATGTCAAAATGTCCAGAATCCTCACGATTAGTATAACTTACCCTAAGGGGAGTTAAAAAATGTAGTAAAAGAAATAGAATTAAATAAGTGAGCAAATAGTAATTATAAATAACTTGCAGAATTATGTTCTGGATCATAGATCACTCAGCCATTTTCTCTTTAGTTTTTTGACTGACTGGGATTGACATATGTATCCAATTTGTCTCGAACAATCAACCTTCTGCTTTTAATGACTTCTATTGGGAATTTTTAGGTCTTTGTGAATTATATATAAACCCATCAAGTGCTGCATATCATTCTCAGTATATTGTTTTGGGCTTTCTGAATTATACAAATATGTTATATACCATGTGTCGATATTAGAATTATCATCGAGAAGCTTATTTTGTAATCAAAGTTTGGATGATCTGCCTATGAGCCAGTTCAGGTACTTCAATTTTAAATCTATTTATTCCTTTTTCATTATTATGTACATTTTCCAATTTAGTTTACTATCTACATGCATTATTAGATTTTTTTATCAGGTCTTGCGTGGCTTCTTAATGAAACGATAAGATGTTGGGATTTGGTAACATCTGGTTCGATGTTCCATTTTTTAGCTATAATTCTGTTTCTCTTAATGAGCAAAAGATGCTCAAGGTTTATTTATTTATTACCCTTTTTTTATTTATTATGCCCCTCTTTGCAGACTTTTTTGACAGCACGTGAGGCTCCAAATAAAAACCTCGATATGCAATTTGAAGAAATGTTCCCATGACAATCTTACTAATGTTGAAATGCAGTTAAAATGGAGATTTTATTTTATTTTAGTTAGACCATTTACACTTTTATACATTTATATTTTCTAGCAATTTACAATATCTTCTGACAAAATACTATATTTTCTGACACTTTTAAACAGTTTCTATGTTTTGTTAACATTTTCTGACTATTTTTAAACATTATCAGATTTAAAGCATGTTCTGATGATTTACAATATTTTTGGATAATTTTTTTTAAACAATTTCTATGTTTTTTTTTAAAACAATGACTATTTATTTTAAATTTGAAACTATTTGACTATTTATTTTAAATTTGAAACTATTTGACTATTTATTTTAAATTTGAAACTATTTGACTATTTATTTTAAATTTGAAACTATTTGACTATTTATTTTAAATTTGAAACTATTTGACTATTTATTTTAAATTTGAAACTATTTGACTATTTTATTTAAACGATTTTTATTTTATTTAAACAATTTTTATTTTATTTACTTGCACACTCTGCAGTAGCACATCTTCGCATATATCTATGGTTCATGTCGGAAAAAGCCGCCAAAAAATTCATTCTCTCTTTTGGGACTTGCCGGGCGAGAACATTACATCATTACATCGGAGATTGGAATTGAAATCATTCCTCGTGTCTTCATGTTTCAAGCGAGAATATTTTCCAAGTTATATTACTATAAAATCAGCGTTCAATAAAAAATGCCATTGCTTTATGCTTACGCTATCTTATTTTTAGATCAGGAGAATTGACAAAGGGGTCCGTGGAGACTCCATTTGAATACAATCACTACATATTTAAGAATTTTAAAGCAAAGATATTATGTAATCAAAATGCTTTTTATAGTTTAACCAACCATGTGCTTGATTTTTTTGGGTAATGTTACACAACTCGATCCATCACTCATCTTGTGCCCTAGCTGTATCTTGTCCGATAATTTTAAATATAATATGAAACTATTTAGTCGACTTAGCTGACATTTAGAATCCTAGACGACTTTGTGAAACATAATTTAGTGTTTTTTGAAATTTAATTTTCAACTAACCATGTGCTCGATTTATGTCAAGTAATGTTACTCTAGTCAATCCATCTGATTGATTTCAAATATCATATGAAACTATTTAGTTGACTAAGCTAAGCTTTACAATTTGAAATCTGGAAGACTTTATGAAACATAATTTAGAAAGTGAGCATTTTGTAAAGTTGTTACTTTTTATTAGACTTGGTTGTTTTATCATTACTCTCAAATAGTTTAGTTATCATTGAACAGTACAATTTGTTTAAAATTTTATCAGAAGTTTTAATGTTTCACGGCTTAGGTTGTACCTGTGTAAGATTTCTCACTCGTGCTTATTTCATACGAAGCATTTTGATTTTTTTTATTAAGTATAAAGAAATAATGATTGATACAATTGTCATTTGATAATTTTGTATGTGCATTAATTTTTTGGGATGATTTTATTTAAAACTGATAATGAATTCTATTTATCTTTATCTTTATCGTAGTAGGTATAGATGGTAAGACTTATTGAACAACAAGCCTTAATATTTATTGGATTATTATTTATTCGAGATAGAGGTTTTTTTTAGATTATTATTAGCCACGCTTACATGGAGCATTTAGCCATCCACAACATTCCATTTTTTTATTCTAATTATTTTTTAAATTTTAATTTCTTATTGAAAGACAATTATTTTTATTCTTCAATATTAAGGAATAAATTTTATTTCATTATGCTATTTCACTTTGATAAATCAGAAAAACCTTATATGTAGAAAGGTGGAGTCTGTTAATCATACAGTCTGTTTTAAAGTTTTAAATTTTATCATGGAAGATTGTATCCGAAGTACAAAAATATTACTATTTCTTATATTGAGCATCGGCATCATTTTAATAATGCATTTATAATGATGTTCATTCCAATTTAATACTTATTTCTATATTTTACAGGTTCAGACCAATGTTTTTATTCGTATTGGAAAGCAAAATGAAGCTGCTTTGGAAATAATTTTGCAATTGAAATCAGTCGGAGCCCCTGACAAATCTAGTGTTCTTTGGTTGAAGTTAATAATCTGAGGAAACTCATTCATTAACACAATAACTAGGTTTGAGTGTCATATTGCTTTAAGGTATGTTGATTAGATTTGCATAACAATCGGCCTAGTTGTTTGGGTTATTTTTTTGTCTGCTTTCAGACAGTTTACAATGTTTTTATATTTCTACAAATGCTTTCATCTGACATCATCACTGTCATTTTAAGACTGTAAAAGTGATTTTGATTGGTGGCCATCAAATGAAAAAGCGACATGTCTCATTAAATATCGAGCATTTATTAAATATTCCAAAGATGTCTGAAGCATTCTGAGGCTGTCTGAAAAATATACTGAAGATTCTTAAAAGTAAGTTAAAATACCAATAAGTTTTATTGATTGAATTTTGTTAATAAGTACATTTATCATCGATTTGCAATTACATTGATGTCCTTTTAACACTCAGCAGATTTGAATTTGCCATCGACGTCATCGCACTTTGGATGAATGCGGCGCTTTAAATATTTTACTTGATTTATATAAAAAATTAAGAAACTCTAGATAATCAAAGAAAATGTTAAAAAAAAATTAATCATTGAATTAAATATCAAATTTTAATAAGACTTTGCATTTCATGATTCGAATGACTGCTTGCATGGTAGCTTTCGTATGGATTAATATATTACAGTGCATGCGTAGTTCTAGTTTTAATAACACTAACAAATACTAACAAAATAACCATCTATTCTATTTTTAATCAATAATCATGTAATCATTTGAATCATTTAAAATAATGCAATGTGTAATTATCATTCATTACACTTTATATCACTGCTTTCAATTCATAAATTCGTTTTCTGTACATCCAAGTGCAAATTGTAAACCGTTGTGACATTATTACATTTTATTTCTGAGTATTCGGACTAAGTCACATCAACACATAATGTACAAATTGAAGAAAACTGTAGGAAGTGGATTTATCAAGTAATGCATGAAAACTAGGTATATATTTGATTTATTTTAGCAATTAATTATACATCATCAATTATGTATTCATCCATGTAACATAACTAATGTTTTTTTTTTCAGATCCTTCTAATTCAACTGTCACTAATCTGAAGAAGTTCCACACTGATAACCTTCTCTAAAAGATGTATTCTAACCTTGTTTTTTTTTATTGCAGGTTCAATTCTCCACTAATGAACCAACTGCTATCATCAACCCAACAGACTTTATCGACTCTAGTCAATCAAACAGTAAGCTCATATCAAGTATCTATCAGGCTGTATGTATCCTTTCTCAAACATTTTAAAAGATGTATTCTAACCTTTTGTTTTTTTTATTGCAGGTACAATTCTCCACTACTGAATCAACTGCCACCATCGACTCAACCGACTTTATCAACTCTAGTCAATCCAACAGTAAACTAATATCTTAACTTGTCTTTGGTCTTAACTTGTCTTGTTTTGGTCTTAACTTGTTGCCCTGGTCTTGATCTTGTACTAGAGTATTTTGTACTAGAGTATATACATTCATTTATTTAAATATTTAGTCAAAACTTCAAAAAACTTTTTGCACAAAAAATCACCTTTCTATACTATTTTTATCTAATTTTTATCTAATTTTCATCTTATTTTTATAAATTTTTTCCTCCCCAGGTATACATTTGGCCTGGCTAGAAGAAAACGTTTGAGGGCAGGATTATTTCAAATGCATGTCCTCGATTTCTGCAAATCCTTTAAGTACTGATGCAACCTGGAAATACGTCCAGGACAATTGGCAAAAAATGATCGACAGGTTCGGATTGGGGGAAAGAAATTTGGGCAGACTTATTCCATCTGTTACCGACAGATTTACTACTGAGGATAGGCTGAAAGAAGTAAAGAGACGATATGAAAGATGATACAAAATTATCATTTATTCAAAATTTTTATATCGGAGTGTATAAAAGTGTGACCTAGGAAATGTTGTAAATTTTATCTAGTTTCACCCTGTGTAATTGAAAACGGGTGGTTTTATATGAAGTATTTGAGTTATTTGACAAAAACCAAAAAAATGTCCCGAATTAAAATTTAATTTTTCAGATGAATGACTTCTTTGCCAAATTTCCGGAGGCCGGAGTAGGAGCTGCTGCTCGGAAACAAGCCCTGGAAACTGTTTCCAAAAATATAAAATGGTTAAAAGTTAACAAAGACAGTGTTGCAAAATGGTTGAACGAGAGGAAATGATTTAAGAAAAAATATATATAAGTGCTCTTTAGTGTTGAAAGTCGAACGCAATCCCAGACAGCACAAGACATGCCAGGGAATGTCCCTCTTGTCTTCACAATCTCCTAATATCGTGAATTGTCCTCGCTGGTGGTTGATAGTTTGGATGTAGGTTCTGGATCACCAGTACGACCAGGAATTGTAATGATAGGCTGGACCCGAGCGGTGAACAGTTGAATAGTTGTTGAAATATTATATTTGTGATGTGGACTCTCCAGAGTCCACTGGTAGTGTGATAGGCCTTTAGGACGAACAGCGATTTGATAGTAATTTGTAAACACACTTCTTTCTTTGAATGATACTTTTATTATTCACTATTTTTACAATTAATATTTATTGATAACCTTTTGGTTATCATATCAGCAAAGACTACATTTTACTGAATACTATGTCTGGCTCCAAGCTTGACTCCAAGCTTCTCCCCAGGTTTGACTGCCTGTCTAACTTTTGTCTAACTCTTATATACTAATTTATTGTTTACAACCTATTTACAAAATCCAACAGTAAGCACTTCCGATGTCCGCGTAACCTACATATAACTAGCAACGCGTTTTGTAATTATTAAACAAAATAATGATTCGAATTGTTATTACAGTTCAACCTCCCTCTTCAAAAGTTTTTTGTCCTCGGAAAACTATAAAAATTAAGAAAAAATTAATAAAAAAAATGAGTTCCATCTCTTCTTCCTTCGGCCCTTAAAAACTTTTGTCCTCAAAAGTGTCATTACTGTTAGAATATGTTTACAAATAATGTGCTCTGAAAAAAAAATCTTATAATAATTTTATTTTTATCTCCACATTAATAAATCTTTAATAACATATATACAAAAAAAATCAGCAGTTGAATGCAATTTAGATGGTCGCTGATTATGTAAAGGCATCACTGAAATTTAAAATCTTATTCCGGTAAAACAAAATATGTTTCGAACAACTTACCATAAATGATGCAAATAATTTTTTTTAAAAAAACTTTTATATCAATAGAGCATAAAAATCATAATATGAAAAATGTCTTTAAAATCTGCAAAAAAATATTAATGGCGTAAAGAATCTTGCATTTGATAATTTAAATCATAAATAGTAATTAATGAAAATTTAAATTTACGTTGTATTGTTAATACTTGATATATTCAAAATTTGCTGGGTAATCAAAATTGGACAAATGCTGCTTTGAAATATGAGAATTCGCTTATGTCAACCAAACAAAATGACTTGCGTGTTATTATTGTATTTACACCTGGCGAGTTTTTAGTTTCTTCCGGTATTTAAAATTAAACAATTTTGGTGCTGTTCTGAATATAATAAAATCGGGATTGTTTCTCTTCTTTACATGTGTTTGCGACGATATCAATTTTCTGCTGCTTTGGCTTTGTAAATGTGCATATTTCTCCTTTGTGTTCAAATTCATATTCTTACGGTTGAACATATCTGTAATAGTGGCTATATTTTCATTTATTGACAATTTTCGTTGTGAAGGTAATTTTCTTATCATATTAACTTTATATTCCCTGGTTTCTTGATTATTTTCTTCTATAATTTCATCATTAATTTTTCTTCTTTTAATATTTCTTTTCTTTTTCTTTTCCTTCTTTATTTTAATGGGAATAGTTTTCATATATTCTGGTCCTTCATCATTAAGTATTCTTATTTCTTCTTGTTTATCATTAATTTCTTTCATGTCGTAAACCTCATCTTGGGTTTGTTCCATATCTTGTGCCACATATATGTTCAGATCCTTTCCTTCTTCGTATGAATTTGTTCGTATGGTTTGTTCCATATCTTTTGCCACATATAGATCCTTTTCTTCTTCGTATGAATTTGCACGTATGGTTTGTTCCATATCTTCGGCCACATATAGATCCTTTTCTTCTTCGTATGAATTTGCAGCGATTGTCGTCAACTCTTCTATTTTGATGTTGTGAGTCAAACTTTCTGCTTTGTATTTTTCTTGTTCTTCGGATTCTTCGGACTCTTCGGACTCTTTTTGTTCTTCGGATTCTTCGGATTCTCCGGACTCTTCGGACTCTTCTTTAGTTGTTATGAATGCCTTGTATGTATCATCATATGTTGTTGTATATTTCAGATCCTTATTACTTTCGTAGTCCATTCTATCGTCATTTCCACCATTGTAGATTCTAAGTTTGTCATCTCTTTTCCTATTTGTAAGTTTTCGACATTGGTTAATGTGGTGTCCCCTTTTCTTGCAGTATCTGCAAGTGACGAATGGGTTGTATTTTTTATCAGATCTGATGTTTAAATATTTTTCTTCCTTTGCAGCAATGTGCATAGCATCTTTCAAATTTTCCGGTTTGGCTGCTTTAACTATAATTTTCAAGTCCAATGGTAGGCCTTTAACAAAAACTGCCAAAGCCAAGTCACAATATGATGGATACGCTATTTCATTTTGTGTAAAATAGCATTCGTTGTTTATTAACGTAAGCAAACTCTCAAGTTTCTCTGCAAATTCCTCAATCGATTCCCCATTTTCTCTTGTTGTTGTTGCTAGCTCGTGATGTAACTCAGCGATGGACCTTCTATCTTTAAAACGTTTAATTAGAATAGGTTTGATATTATTCCATAACTGATAATCAGCCCGTCTAATGCAATCAAAAGCTATTCCACTTAATTCACAAATAACAATTTTTGATATAAATTTGTAGGTCTCAAAATCTACATCATCTAAAATTGAGTCTACAGTACTTAAAAATCTATAAAGGTCATCTGAATTGCCATTGAATTCGGGTATAGTGCTAATTGCTAATTGAATTCTAAATTTATTTATTTCTATACTATTATCTTTACCTTTTCTAGCTTCTTCAAAAATGGGTTCCATCTTGAGATATGATTAAATTTCGATTTGCTTACTTGAATCCGATGAGATAGTTATGTCCAAGTTAGTCGTAGTCTCGCGTTCGTTCTAAAGTTCTTCGGTAGGCGCCACCATCCCTTAGTTTGTGCTGCGAATGATCGTTCGGTTTGTCGAGTTGTGGCAGCTTTGAACTCGATGTCTCCGTCAGAAAATTCTTCAGCGCTACGAGGGAAAAAACCGCTAAGCCACCATGAATTGTGACGGCGTGGTTGTTGACTTGGTTGCTTCTGGGTCCTTCTAGCTATGTAGGGGTAATCCTAGCAACCCAAGCTCAACTCGTCCACAGATATATGATAAGCGGGGTACTGGTTTGATAAGTCTCCTCGAACGGGGGTAGTTTCCTAGAGGTATTAGCTGGAAGACTTGGTGTAAATAAAAATACAAGCTCTTCCGTAATTATAACCACTTTATTGGACAACAC